AACCTTAGGGTTGCACACCATAACAGCACCCTTTTTTTATGCTTGTTCTTAATGTATTAAAATGTTATTATTGAGGGTAAGACTTGGGGGTTGGGAGAAGTTAATAAATGCTAAATTTTTTTTTTTAATCAAAAAATTAGAAAATTTAGATTGAGATATTGGAGCTCCCACAAAGGCTTGGGAGTTAGAAACTCCCTTTTGCTTAATATATAGTATAGATAATAAGTCATATAGGAAACCAAAGTAATTATGTACTCTATTAGCTAAAAGTACGAATATGTATAATTATGGCTCACTTTAAGAACGTAAAATTTTAATTTAATCAATGTATATTATTAGTAATTAAATTTTACACTATATCTTATATTTTTTTTTTTTGCAGGATTTGCAGATCTCTAGTGTAATAACCCACATTCATGTCTTAGTCATGTTCATGTACATTGCATGATTTTGTTCATGTTAAGCTTGCATTTGCAGACTTGACTTGTTTTGCCTAAGTAAAGGTACCAGTCTTGTTTTGTGCTTATGTGATTTGCCTAAGTGTTGTATGCATGTTTGTTCCTTCCTTGCTATGTCAAGCCTAGGTCATGTTAAGCCTAAGTCATGCCAAGCCTAGGTCATGTCAAGCCTAGGTCATGTGTAAGCTAAGTCATGCCAAGCCTAGGTCATGTAAGCCCTAGGTCATGTTAAGCCTAAGTCATCAAGCCTAGGTCATGTCAAGCCTAGGTCATATTAAGCCTAGGTCATGTCAAGCCTAGGTCATGTTAAGCCTAAGTCATGCCAAGCCTAGGTCATTCAGCCTAGGTCATGTCAAGCCTAGGTCATGTTAAGCCTAAGTCATGTCAAGCCTAGGTCATGTTAAGCCTAAGTCATGCCAAGCCTAGGTCATGTTAAGCCTAAGCCATGTCAAGCCTAGGTCATGTTAAGCCTAGGTCATGCCAAGCCTAGTTATGTTAAGCCTAAGATCATTCCAAGCCGAGGTCATCTTCAGTCTAGAAGTATCTTGGAACCCTTTGTTTGACCTCCACCTTTGCTTTGACATACTTGGCCGAGGATGTCATTATCTAGGCCGAGGTATGAATCACCAAGCCGAGATGTGTATTATCTGGGCTGAGATGTTACCTTTGCACCCAAGTGATCTTGTCCTAGAGTGTATGACCTAGACCGAGGTGTGGCACATCTAGGCCAAGGTGTGGCACAGCTTAGTCAAGTGTTGTCCTTCCTAGCCGAGGTCATTGTCATCTAGTTGCCGAAGTCTTATTGTTAGCCGATGTCACCACTTGCCGGAGTGCCATCCGAGTAGCTTGTTAGATACGCCTTGTCAGAACCTTGTCTGTCAATCCATCACCTTTTTGAAGAGGACCAACCAGCCGTTGCCCGTGGCCGAGCTGAGAGTTAAGTCAGCCGGCAGAGGGAGAGACCCATCATTTGTTTGTATATTGTTTTGAAGAGTAGAGAGAGAAGGCTCTAGAAGAGGGAGAAGAGTTCTTGAGAGAGAGTAGATTTCCAAGCTTGATTCCTAGAGATCCAACCGTTAGATCCGCGTTTTAAGGTTAGATTCTTGATCTGCTCATGATGTCTTTATGTTTATGTTATTGCATTGCATGATTGAAAAATGATTTTGTAAGCCATGCATTGTTTGAAGTTCGGTTTTAGAAGGAGAAAATAGCATTCAGGTGTTCTTCAAGAAAAGTCATGTTTTGATCCGAAGGCTCATGCCTAAACCCATGTTTTGTGTTTGTTCTTGCATGATTTTCAAGTATGAGGTACCCAGGTCTATGTTTTTGAACTCATAGCATGAACCTCAGATTTAATAACAAGTTATGACTTTAGATTTCATGTTTTCATGTTCTTCATGCCCATGTTTCTTCAAGGATGAAACCCAGATTTCCAGGGCTTCATTTCCCTAGGTGCGATCACCAAGACACTCTTGCCTAGATCACACACTTAGGCCAAGCATCGTATCTCACCTTGGCCTACCTTGCATGATCACTTGCACGTTAGTTTATCTTGCATGCCACACCTAGGCTAACCACTGCACACCTAGGCCGACCATGGTAACACCTACCGGCACCTTGTAAACACCTCAGCAGGCAGCTGCATACTGAAGCCTAGGTAATCAACACTCGGCCAAGAGGTGTGGGACCTCGCCAAGACCTCCGAGTTCACCAGCTAGGTCATTTTTGCCTAGATCATTTCTGTGCATCCATTCCAAGACCTGCTTGGTACCAGCAATGTTTTCCCTAGATGTTTTCCAGCATGTTTTCCCAGGATTTCCAACATGTTTCCCTAGATGTTTCAGCATGTTTCCTAGATGTTTATCCAGCATGTTTTCCTAGATTTTCCAGGCATGTTTTCCCTAGTATTTCAGCATGTTTTTCCTAGGTATACCTAGATGTTTTCCACGCATGTTTCCTAGTATTTCCAGCATGTTTTCCCTAGATGTTTCCATGCTGTTTTCCTAGATGTTTCCAGCATGTTTTTCTAGATCATTTGCATTCATGTAAAGCTTGTTTTTAAGAGTACATTCAATAGACTTGCCATGTTTTGTAGGACTTGGACATTTGCCCTGATCCCGACATCCAAGAATTATGTGAGTGGTTTTTTAATAAGTTATGTTATAAAGTTGGCAAAGCCTTGCTTCGTTTTAACTTGCTTTCATAAATCTCGTCTTGCCTTGTTTTGAAAAGTACTTGATCTAGCATGAATGACTATCCCTACTTGTATATTAAGCACTATCTTGTTTTGATGACATTTCTTGAAAGTCCTTAGTTGCAGGGGACTATAATGCAACTGCACTCTTGTCTTGATATGTCATCACCCCATGTATTATGTAGATGTTATTTAACATCCTAAGCAAGATTTGAAAGACCAAGATTTGATCGATGAACTTAATTCATCCCATGTTTTGAACAAGCTATGATATATGTATTGTTTTGACAAGGACCTTGGAAATCATTCATTTAACCCCTTTATTACTTATACCATTCACTGAGTATCCAAGCTCACCCTCCCTATGTATATATGTAGGTAATAAGCAAGAGGTCGTCTTCGCCAAGATGTGTGTTTTGTATGCTTGTTTGGTCGGCTGTAAGGATGTCGGCAATCCTGAAGATCATGTTCCATGTTTTGTATTTCATGTGTTATATTTATGTCGGCTTGAGAAGCCCTTTGCCACGATGTAACATGTACTTTTGTAATCAAATTATAAGTTATGTAAAGATGTATGCCATTCCATTTGACTATGCACTGCTCTTATGGACCACTTATATTTTAGATTATTGCTTCCGCACTTGTGAGCCCCGTATATTGTACTCTGATTGTGTGTGAATTTTGTATGTTGGCCTTCGGTAATTACGGATTACTGGCCATCACGGCACCAAACTACTAGGGGCAGTTTGGGGGCGTGACATCTAGTCTCATGTTATCAAATTTAGATTTTATATGAATTTTTGTTGCACAGATTTTTTAGTTAAGATTAGTAAATATTGTATTTTTTCAAAGATTTGTACATCTTTTAATGTATGTGTATTTTATTTATCAAATACGTTAATATCAAATATTACATTGTACATAGTTACTCATTTTATTTATATATATATTATTAGAAAAAATAATATGAAATTCATATTATAATTTAAAAAGAAATTGCGCACGCATCCCGTATCTCATGTGCCCGGCTGCTAGTTTGATCTTAGAAATTGTTTGAAATGACTTAAATAAGTACATTTTTATTCTTTTTATAAAAGGATGTAAAAAAAATAAAAAATTGATGTGATAAAAAAAATATAAAAAGATAAAAAGATACATTATTCTTCCGTTGCCAAACTTGCCCTAGATGTGTAGACTTGGCCGGTAACGTAATCTAAAACTACTCCAAGCTCAGGTACTCCCGCCACCTATGGTGGGTGGGTGGCTCCGCACCACTCTAGAGAGAGAGAAACTGAGAGAGAGCGAGAGGCATGAGAAATGAGCTTCCTGAGAAGAGTGAACTCAAGAATCCCTCAAATTTTGGGATTTACAAGAAGGTCCTTCAAATCACTCAAATTGGTCGGCGACTCCATCGACCTCTCTGACGCCCCCGCTCTCATCCATGGCATTCACGTCTTCCATTGCCCTGTACTCTATCTCCATTTTTACATTCTTTCAATTCTTCAAATAAATCTTCATTCTCTCTCTCCTTCATTTTGGTGTCTCTGCATCTAAATTAGGTCAAATCTATAACAATTGTATTCATTTTTTTGATCTGTGTTATTAGGATGAGCTCGGCATTGTCGCAAAGTTATCGGAATGCATTGCTTCGAGAGGTGGGAACATACTGAGTGCCGACATCTTTGTTCCCCAAAACAAGCAAGTCTTCTATTCCAGAAGGTCTTTCTTTTTTCCATACCTTCAGTTATATTTCTGAATTTGATTGATTGTATATTCAAATCAAGATATTCGAGTGAAATTTTGGTTAAAAGTTTGGTATGATATAGAGCACTTCAATCTTAAATCTTTTTTTGTTTTTATTTAATCGGATATCTTTACAATGATTCACAGCTTTTATCCCCAAAAAACCTCTTTTGACAATTTTTATGAAAGAAAACCGAACCATTTTCAATTCTTACTCTGTTTTAAAGTTTTATGAGATTTTGGTAAAAATATGGCTGTTGGAAATTTGGAGATTTAATGAAAAATTTGGCTCTCTTCCTTGATTTGATACAAATTTGATGAAATGATTGGAGCTCACTTTTAGCACTTTTGTCATCAAATTCACATGAAGGAATTGGTGAAGGATTGGAGATGCTCTAATTCATATTTTTGCTAGAAAACAAAAAGAATTAGAATGCCTACTACATGTTATTTGATTGTGTGTCCTAACATATGCCGTAGTTGTACATATTCTAGTGAGCTCTACACATTTGGGTGGGAAAGTGACCAAAAAAAAGAAGCAGAAAAGAAGATACAAATCTCAAATTTGAGAATTGGATCTTTAATCATATTAGTATTTGTTTCTTGTATTAGTTTTTCAAGAAGAAGTAGAAGGTGTAGTTTGAAATGATTGTGCATAAAGGAAATATTGTATCCATTTGTCATTGAAGTATATGGGGAAATGCTAGAGGCCCAAATTTTGTAACTTGAAGTCCTCACAAGATTGTGCTTTGTGTTGAAGTCTGTACAGTTTTGTATCAATTCTTAGCTTTTGGAAACGAAATGGATAGGGATTATAAATTTGAATTGTGGGTTTTGAAAATATTAGGCTTTCTAGCAAAAGCATTCTTGGCATCTAATTCCAGTTTTGCTAGAGAAAAAAATAAGTAAGAATTTGAAGAATGAATTGTGGCCCCTTCCTTCAAATGATTAGACTAAAGGAGAATTTAAATAGTGAGGTAGTTTCTTTCTTCAAATGCCAGATTCTCCAACACAAGAGTGATATCTTTCATTGGATATATAGAAATAAGCCAAAATCCACATGCTGCTTGCTTAAGCAAGGATCATTTAGTTTACAAATGTCTAGATAGTTAAGAGCAAGGTTTTGAACAGCGGTTGTGGTCGCCGTAACGGTTGTGATGACGTGGTAGCGGTTGCGGTGTGTAAAGGCCGTAGCACAACGGTTGCGGTAACTGGAACCATGATTTTTTTTATTTTTTATTTTTTCGCACAATATGAAGAAACTTACCGATAGGCATATTTTTTTTTTTCTTTTCAGAATCACATTTATTAGGGTTTAAACTAAATTTTGATCAATTTTTGTTAATTTTTAAGTAAGATCTAATATATTTCATATTTTCAAATCATTATAAAATGAGCTTTTTACATTTTATTTTAATAGTTAATGATTTTAAGAATAATTGATTTTAAATGTCTACAAATTATTTATTATCAATACCTGAACTAACTGAATAAAAAATATTCACAATTATTAAATTAGAAGATTATAAAATAAAAATTATGCCATAAATTTTTTAAAAAAAATTATAAGATTTTTTTTTTTTTTGGTTTGGATCACTTGTATTTGTTTCTTTTTTGTGGCATAAATTTTTTAAAAAAAATTATAAAGGATCATAAAAGATTTTTTCTTTGGACTTGGATCTCTTGTATTTGTTCCTTTTTTTGTAAGCTTTTGAATTTTTTTTTTTTGGAAAAAATAAGTTATTCAAAATATTGTAAAAGGGTGTAATGGTGTCTAACAGACCGTTACGGTCGTTATGCAACACCGAAATGGCCGTTACACGTGAATTTCGGTCACACCGCTATAGCGGCCGTAACAGGTGGCGATAACCACCACAACCGTTATGTAACGGTTGCGGTCGCTTTTTAAAACCTTGCCAATAACTGAAAGAGGTATTGACTTGCAGACTGCCGCTAATAATTTTCACATTCTGCAGCAGATGTGACGTTGCATTTTACTCTGCAGTGTAGTGAGTAGCTTGACGTGACAAAAATCTGATAATATGATGCCACAAAATCTAACTATGCTGTATTCTGCTGCACCTTGACAGTGAATTTGTCTTTGATCCTGCTAGATGGCCACGGGTGCAAATGGAAGAGGACTTCCTGAAGCTGTCAAAGATGTTCAATGCAATGAAGTCTGTTGTCCGAGTGCCCGCTCTTGAACCCAAATACAAGATTGCAGTTCTTGCTTCGAAGCAGGTGTGTTTTAATCTTTAAAGACGTTACTTTGCTCTGTATAAAGTGATAGAGAGCAATACTAGAACTTGAAACTAAAGCATGCAAAACCATAAGCTGTAATGCTTTTTACATTTTCAGTTGCTGAAGCTGTCTTAATGTTGGTGCAGGATCATTGTCTGGCCGATTTGTTGCATGGATGGCAGGATGGAAGACTTCCGGTGGATATAACTTGCATAATAAGGTAAAGATTGAAGAATGCTACCGGTTATCACTGAATTTTTGGATTCAAATGTGTTGCCTAACAACATTTAATGCATCTACTTGCCAGCAATCATGATAGAGGACCAAACACCCATGTGATTCGATTTCTTGAAAGGCATGGGATCCCCTATCATTATTTGCACACAACTAAAGGGAATAAGAGAGAGGCAGAGATCTTGGATTTGGTACAAGATACTGATTTTATAGTACTTGCTAGATACATGCAGGTAAACCACATGTTGAGATATTCCGTTCCTACAAATACCTAATATCTTTTCATTATCAAGTAAGATGAATTCTGTGTATTTTTTCTCCCCCCGTTAAAATTTCAGAACTCTGATAGTAGAAAATGAGATTCTCCCTGCTTTTTCTTTCAGCCTATTTATCAATGGATGATCAAAACATTCATAACATACTGCTTGATGCTTTACCACTTTTGATACAACTTGCACACATATAATGATATAATTAGATCAACCATTGCATTTTGAGATTGATAACACCAATTTTTATTCATGCAGGTATTATCTGGAAATTTTTTAAATAGTTATGGAAAGGATATAATTAACATTCACCATGGCCTTTTGCCATCATTCAAGGGCGGAAATCCTTCTAAACAGGTTCCATTTTGATACTCTGATGGATTATGTGGTGTCGCCGCCTTCAATTTCTCCCTGGTTCTTTATGTATGTTTAATTTTTTTTTAATCATATTTTCAGGCCTTTGATGCTGGAGTGAAATTAATTGGTGCAACAAGTCACTTTGTAACTGAAGAACTTGATGCAGGGGCTATTATCGAACAAATGGTGATTATTCTCTTATTTACCATTGCAATTAATGTCACCTCCATTTAACCTTCAATTATTTTGTTAACCTAGAAATTCTAGATTTGGAATGCTAACAAGGTCTTGAGAAGATGCTTGAGTTAGGGTTAGAATATGTGTAAGTGGCATCTGTTGCATACTTGGAGGTTTAGGGAACCCAGTGGGACTGGCTTGGATGCCGCCAAATTGTTTGCAAAAGTGATTAAAAGGCTTCTATTCTATTGGAGATCTTCCTTATCAGTCTTCATTTTTTCCTCTGCTTTCTTGATCATTTATCATTTATCTTTTCAAGTAGGATCATTCTGGGTGGGATGGTTTCAATTGTCCAAGACATAAGCCTGACACTGAATCTCTTGGTCCATCCTCTTAAAATTAAGCCTAACTTCAATACTTCCATCACCCATTATATTGCTTCTCTATAATCACCCAGTGCAGCTCAACTTTAGCACCAAAAGTAGCAATTTGAAATGCTATATAGAGCTTGGTCTGATGAAATACAGAGCCACTAATGAAAAAAATGTGATGTATGAGCCATACTATGACAGTCATAATACTTCATAAATCTCTTTCTTTAGTATATTGTAAGAGTTTTAAAATCTGGATTGTTTGTAATTCCCCTAGTAAATTTCTTATAAAATTCAACAAAATTGCTGCATAAGTGAGTTCCAAGATACAAATTTGAAATTAAGGTGAGTTTTGATCATACATTGAATTCTTCTGACACCTCTGCTGAAATTTGTTTTTTATCACTTCATCTGCTTGCATGCAGGACCATTTGCTATTTTCAGCACTTTCTCTTTAGGCATAGAAAATGTCGTTTTTCTTGGTTAATTTTACCGTTTAAATCATGCATAATAACAGAAATTGTTATCATGTTGGGTCTCACACTTTCTTAATAAAGTTCGTATTGTCCCCATCCAGGTTGAGAGTGTTTCGCACAGAGATAATTTACAGAGTTTCGTACAGAAATCAGAGAACCTTGAGAAACAGTGCCTCACGAAGGCAATAAAATCTTACTGTGAATTGCGGGTGCTGCCTTACGAGGAAAACAAGACTGTCGTATTCTGAGGAGCAGTCAAGGAGAAAAGGCACACAACCTGTATGTACATATGATTTATTATTTTAAATTGTTTAAATACCAAATTTTCCATGCTGAGCCATTATAGAATTTTGATTGGCCTTATTAGCATTATGAAATTCAGGAATTTAACAATGACATTGCTAGTCCTGAACCAAATATGAGTTTCAAAAAAGATATGCTCTGATGATCATGATTTCTTCCATTTTCTTGATTTGATCCTTCTGGAAGTTTCTTGATGCTGTGTGAACTCAACTTAAAAATTAATAATGTTTAGTTTGTAATTTTTGTTTTTTTTATCTAATATAATTTTAGGATTAGGTTTATGATAAATTTTTTAGTTTGATGTTGAGCCGGCCTGAGTTTGGGCATAACAATTTTTTACTTTTTCAAGCTAGCCCGACCCAGCCCGGTTGATGCCTTCTCCTATTCTAGATTAAAAAAAAAATAACAAAAAAGTGGTCAACACAAAACTGAGAAATAATCTACTTCTGTTTTTATTAACATTAGTGTAAAGTACAAGCACACCTCAACACCAAAAGAAAGACACCACAAACATTTGACAATCGACACACACAGCACAGCACAAGGAGATAGTCCCCATTTTTCGGAGAAGTTATCTGGTGTTTCCAAAACACCACGTCGCTTTATGCCCAACACTTGAATGCTTGTAATTAAACAGGCACATGATCACGCCAGTGTTCCCGATCCACGTGATAATTTCTGCATTTTTTCGGCTATTTAAGCATAATCTTCAGAGGCTGGGAGTGCACCATATGACCCAATAAAGATATCACCATAGATCAAGCCAGCCAAGCCTCCACCAATAAGTGGGCCGACCCAGTAGATCCAAATCTCAGAGAAGTCTCCGCTGACCACAGCTGGCCCAGATGAGCGAGCTGGGTTCATCGAGCCACCGCTGAATGGACCAGCAGCTAAGATGTTGGCACCAACGATGAACCCAATTGCGATGGGTGCGACTATGCCGACGGAGCCCTTCTTGGGGTCTGCGGCGGTGGCATAGACGGTATAAACTAGGGCAAAGGTTATGACTATCTCCATCACCACTCCTTCGAATGCATTCATCCCGGATGAGACTGCATGGGTTGGGATTGCCTGTGAAATGCCACACACAATTGTTACGTGGGAAAATTGGATTTAAAAATAATTTCATATAATGCTATGTATCTTTTAATTAATTAGTTAGTGGTACTAGAAGTCTTCGATACTAGGTTAGGTAATTATCTTATTTTTTATGTCATCATTGATTGAGTCTGTAACTGTTGTATATATAAAATAACTGGTCAGAGGCTGGGAGTGCACCATATGACCCAATAAAGATATCACCATAGATCAAGCCAGCCAAGCCTCCACCAATAAGTGGGCCGACCCAGTAGATCCAAATCTCAGAGAAGTCTCCGCTGACCACAGCTGGCCCAGATGAGCGAGCTGGGTTCATCGAGCCACCGCTGAATGGACCAGCAGCTAAGATGTTGGCACCAACGATGAACCCAATTGCGATGGGTGCGACTATGCCGACGGAGCCCTTCTTGGGGTCTGCGGCGGTGGCATAGACAGTATAAACTAGGGCAAAGGTTATGACTATCTCCATCACCACTCCTTCGAAGGCATTCATCCCGGATGAGACTGCATGGGTTGGGATTGCCTGTGAAATGCCACACACAATTGTTACGTGGGAAAATTGGATTTAAAGATAATTTCACTGGTATAATGTTATGTATCTTTTAATTAATTAAGTAGTGGTAGAAGTCTTCGATACTAGGTTAGGTAATTATCTTATTTTTTATTTCATCATTGGTTGAGTCTGTAACTGTTGTATATATAAAATAACTGGTAATGAAGGAAAGCACAACTAGTTCTATTGCCTAATTGGAAGTCTATTATTTTTGTTTTACAAAAAAGTATAGGGAATTCACCATTAATTTTTTTAATATGGTGTGATATTAACTGTGTGTGAATTTATGAAGAGAAGAAAAAATTAGTGAAATCAATTTCGGCCCCTTTTTTTTTTTTTTTTTGGTAGTTTTCTTTTATTTCTCATTAAATAAGGGGTGTAGGAGGGAGCAATCAACGTGTGGCAACTCTCTTTGCTTATGACTATAGGAGTCTCTACTAGCTGAAAGTTGGACATGAGGGCTTTAAACAAGTCTAATGACAAAGATGTGCAACAACACATCTTCATGGGTATCCATGGAGTAGGATCTCTGTTACCATCCCTAAATGTAGGGAATCTGTAAGCACTTACTTTCTCAAAATTGACTTAAACCATAACTTACCCGAGTCTCATTATAGATATAATGACCAAAAATTAATGATTTAAAATTAATAACCGGGAGTCTTGTCCCCGAGTCTCAACGTAGACTCTCAAACCTTTGTCCTTTCAATCATCTAATTATATAGGAGTAAGTTTTAAAGTATTGTTTCACACCGCTCATGTTATGATACTTGTTTAACAAAATATTAATGATTTAAAATTAATAACTAAGAATCTTGTCCTGAGTTTCAACGCAAACTCTCAAACATTTGCCCTTTTAATCATCTAATTATATAGGAGTAAGTCTTGGAGTATTGTTTTACAGCATTCATGTTATGATACTTGTTTATTTTAACAATTTTCTTAAGAGAGATAGAGATACCATGCCGTCGGTAACGAATTTGAGGAGGAGGCAAGCCACGATGGAGCCAAGAACTTGGGCAATCCAATAGAAGATGCCAGTTAGGATGGTGATGTTGCCTCCGATGGCCAATCCGAAGGTGACAGCTGGATTCAAATGGCCACCTGAGATGTTGGCTGCCATGGACACTCCAACAAAGAGTGCAAATGCATGGGCTACGGCCACTGCTACTAGCCCTGCTGGGTCCAATGCTGCTCCTGATGTCAGCTTACCTGCCACATCATCATATTATATATAACTATTTATTTATATATATCTTTTGACAAATGAAATTCAATTTAAGACCTATTGTTAAGCCAAAAATTATAGTTTGCCATTTTTTTGGGGGGAGGAAAATATCATTTCAGTGAAATACGGAAAATATTTACAAATTAATGAAAAACTTTGTTACAATAAAAGCCCTGCTGGGTCCAATGCTGCTCCTGATGTCAGCTTACCTGCCACATCATCATATTATATATAACTATTTATTTATATATATCTTTTGACAAATGAAATTCAATTTAAGACCTATTGTTAAGCCAAAAATTATAGTTTGCCATTTTTTTGGGGGGGAGGAAAATATCATTTCAGTGAAATACGGAAAATATTTATAAATTAATGAAAAACTTTGTTACAATAAAATCGATATTTATTTTTGAAGTTGTCACTGATTTGCTATTCCCCCTTCTCTTTTTTTTCTTTTTCTTTTTTTTTTTTTCCCTTTACAATTGAAGCTGTTTTTTTTTTTTTTTTTTTTTTTTTTGGTTGGATTGAGGGGTTAAAACTGTATAAAATGCTAGTAATAACTGAGAGGTAGCGTAAAAAGAAATGATATCCAATAATAATTGAAAAAAGTATTATTATTTAGTAAAAAAGTATTCCTATTTGTACCCGTGTTTCACATAAGAGTCGAAAAAAGATGGTAAAATTTGTTTAGTGAAATATTATTATTATTTTTAATTAAAAAAAAATCATGACAAATATTTGCACTGACTGTAAGCAATTGCAGATCCAACACCAGCAAAAACAAAGAGAAGGGTTGCAATGAACTCAGATAGATAAGACTTGAGTGACCCAACACTGAATGAGTCACCAATGCTACCAAAAGCCAACTTCACCATTTTTTTTATCACTCAAAAACCCACAGAGATTGAACTAATTAAGCTCTCAAGTGAACTAATTCACTAAAAAAATTTGTACTTTTGCTACAATTTGAGTGTTTTGTGTTGTATTGATATGTATATATAGCACGACAACTTTGGCAATTGCCACAACAAGCACCGACCATGGGACCCATGTGGCTGAGTTGGCACCGTCTGATTGGCGCCACCCCACCGGCCTTAATTTGATATATTAGGGCATTATGAGCATAGAAACAACTAAGTTAATTAATTAAGAGACATTAATAGACAAACAAACAAGGAATTTAAAAACCAGGGTGGTGGTGATTACCATGATTGAATGGAATATATTATCAATGTAAGCTCCATTGCAATCATTATTATAAATGGTTTGATGAGATATACCCCTTTTAATATAGGACATTCCAACCCTTAACTAATGATATTGATAGGGTAAAGTAAACAAATGGTTATTTTAGTTAGTATTTTTTTTTTTTTTATAAATACTTTTTTTTTTTTTTTTTGGTTTTTGTAATTCTAATTGAATTAATTTGACTTTCAACTTTCATCATTAAAAAGTTAAATAAATATTAGCACCAAAATGATTTATTTGCCATTTTTCCCTTTCTCCTGTTCATATTTTTCACACCACCGCTTTCATCCGTTGCAATCGATTTTTGCCTCTAGATTCCGTCTAATTTCTTAATAAATTTTATCAATTGAACTAAGTTGACACGATATAAAAATTAAAGAGTAAAATTAATATAATTGAAAATACATAGTTTAAATTGATACAAGAAATAAAGTACAAAAATTATTGGTATAGTTTGTCCATAATTATAATATGGTCACATTTGGTTGTCAGATAAGAATGAGAATAAGAAGGATAAGTAGGGATTGTGGAGGATAGTGTATATTTTCTCATCCATGTTTGGGAGGGACCAGATTAAGGTTGACAATTATGATTGATAATTTTGTCAATAAACTTTAATCCTATTCCTCTATCTCAAGTTCATAGGATGAAGTTATTAATTATTTTAGAAAATAATTTAGCAAGTGCAAATAATCATGCAATTTTATTCTTTATTTCAAATCTATGCCTATCACAATCTATTGACCAATCAAAATTTTGTTTTGTAACTTACTATGGGTCTTTTGGGAAGTGGGCTATAATTCACTTCCCAGATTATAACTCACTTTCTTTTCTCACAAAAAACTGATTATAATCAGCTCATAATCAACTTTTAATCAAAAGGTTGATTATAACCATCTTCCTAAAATAGTCCAAATTAATCACAGAAGAGTCATAGTCTCTAACCATACTGCTTTATCATCATATTGTATAATCAAATGTGAAACAAACATATCTTTTGAATAACCAAATGTGCCTTAAGTGCCTTCATTCAATAACAATGATTCTATTACTATTAATTATTAATAATGTATGTGTAAGACTTTTATTAAGATAATACCATGGAGTGATGGTATGAGTAGATGGTAATGAGCTGTAATTAATTGAGAGTCTTTTTTTTTCTTTTTCTTTTTTGGTTAATTATTATTGTTATTATTATTATTTTTTAGTATTGCTGAGTGCATAAATATAAATTTTGCCTTTTCCATCTAAATAAAAATTGAATAGTGACGTGGAGGTTTTATATCATATGTTATCCCCGCGCCGACATAGGTATTCTATTACTAGGACGGAATTATCAATAGTTTGCACCATTTTGGTACCTAATCCCTAAAAAACTTTATAATCCTTTTTTCCACAACTTTTTGTTTTCTAACGGGTTTTAGATCCCCATCTTTAAAATATAGGCACCGCATAATTATAAAATGGGCAAATTACATATACACCCCTCGAGGTTTGGCTAAATTACAGATACCCCTGAGGTTTCGGAAATTACATCCCGCCCCCTGAGGTTTGTATTTTCATAACAATTTGCCCCCTGAGGTTTATATTTCATAACAAATTACCCCCTAATTTCTTATGCAAATATAGCATTCAGGGGGGAATTCGTAATTTCTCAAACCTCAGGGGGCATCTGTAATTTAGCCAAACCTCGAGGGGTGTATATGTAATTTGCCCTTATAAAATTCCATTAAATTTGTATGGACACAAGTAAATTACAAATAAATTTTTCTTCTTCTTTATATAATCAAAAAAATAACTATCTTTCTTAGATACATCGGAAAGTAAAATTAAAAAATGTTATCAAATAGATATGAGAAGTCAAACATCTTACCTTTGAGTAATGTGAAAAAATTGTTAATGTTGAACTATAGATTTACTTACACAAGAATTATTTATACGGAGACTTTCTTAGTTATAGCTTAATACGACTTTTTATAATAATAGGTTTAAATGTATAATTTTGAAGTTATAATAAAGAAATGGGAAATATTTTTTTAAGATCCTGATAGGGCAAATTACATATACACCCCTCGAGGTTTGGCTAAATTACAGATATCCCCCTGAGGTTTCGGAAATTACATCCCGCCCCCTGAGGTTTGTATTTTTATAACAATTTGCCCCCTGAGGTTTATATTTCATAACAAATTACCCCCTAATTTCTTATGCAAATATAGCATTCAGGGGGGAATTCGTAATTTCTCAAACCTCAGGGGGCATCTGTAATTTAGTCAAACCTCGAGGGGTGTATATGTAATTTGCCCATCCTGATATTGTAAAATAAAGAACATATAATATTTTCGTAGATAAGGTTTCTCAACATTTTCATATAGAAAATTTAGCTCGGAAAAATTTTGCCCGACTCATTGAAATTTCAGCCCTAATATAGAGAAATTTCAATTTTCACAAAGAAATTTTGAAATTTCTCCGGTATGATCATAGAGAAATTTCATCAAGGAATCTTACCTAATAAAACAAAATATCTTGAACCTCTCCGACTACACAAAGTTGGAGAGGGATGTTTCACTAATTTTTCTTAAATAAAATGATTATCACTCGTTAGGAAGATTATAAATTAATTTGTTTCATGAATTATTTTTATTTTTTAGCGTAATTTTTTCTATCTTGAGACAAATAATAAAATTTTAGATTTGAACAATCTTCAAAATTTTAAAATTTTAATTTTTTTTTAAAACACAATATAAACAAAATAATACAAATTTTATTGAAAATGTATAAAAAAAACTTGGCTTACTTTTGTTTCAATTTTTTTTATGAAAAAATTTCAATTCATTTATTTAAAATTTTAAAATCAACTAATCTAAATAAATTTAAAAATAAAATTATTTGACTAATTTAATTTTTTTCAATTTATCGACAACTTTCACTAAATGTCATCATTTGACTTGAAAGCTAGCAACTCAATGGGTTGTTTCCTTGCTTAAACCTATACCCGGCGAGTTCCCCGGCTTAAATGAGGTTTGGGCTTAGTCTAAGCCTAGTTTGAAATCACTTGACCCAATAGCCCACTAGCTCAGCCCGTAAATCCGATAATTGCGCGAGTTCATTTGAATCAAGTTCGTTGAACTCTAAAATTTTGACGGTTGACACAGTCCAACAAGGAAAGCCCATTGGGCATAGATAATTTTCACGGCCCGGCCCGATGCAGGACACTAGCTTCGTATGCACAGGACCAACTGTTCGAGAAGAGGAGATGATCCGAATCCAATGTTTCGATTTTCGAGTCTTGTCAATGGAGTTTGTAGGGCCTCATTCTTCTTTCTTTCTACTGTAACTCCCTTCCTTTCTCTGAGCTTTTAGAGAGAGAAAAGTATTGAGAGTTGAGAGAGAGAGAGAGAGAGAGAGAGAGTGGGAGGTACAATCAATAACTCATCTCATTGAATGCTCTCAACGACACAAAAGTGATAGCATTCAATTCCTGGCATCTAACCTGGTCTCCCTTTTTTTGAGGCAAGTCCAGTTTAAATTCAACTACCACTATTACTCACTTCAATTCTCTCATTTCAAATTCTTCATAAAAAAAAAAAAAAACCCCTCAATAAATCACTCACTTTAATGCAAAACCCATTAAGGAATACTCAAATTTGTGCATTTTTATGGGTACCCATTTGGGCTATCTCTCATTATCATCACATTCTGTTCCTTTGTGATTGTTAGTTGTGTTTAAGTGTGTTGTGTAGTGGAAGATTGTGAGAGCTTTGGAAAATCTTGTGGAGATTTAAAGATAGAAGAAAGAAAGAAAATATAAAATTGATGGATGGTTTTGCTGTAGATGTAGATGAAGATGAAGAGGCTGGTGGTAGGAGAGAAAATGGAGATTTTGGGACAGGTTCACATGCCCATGCCAAAGCCAAACACTACCGCTCTAAGAGGTGCACTTCTTAGCTTCTTACTTACATGATTTATTTATTGTTATTGATAGATGAAAAACCATAAACTTGAAAGACTTTGGCAAGTTTAAGATTTTTTTTCTTTTTCATCTTTTTTAAAAAAGAAATTATGAATGAATTTTGTTATTTGTCAGTGGCAAGCATATTACAATATAATTTTAATTTGTTGCTATTCTTTCATTTTATTGCCAATAATAATAGGAAAATGTTAAAGACGGTTAATGGGTGTTAGTTAAGACTGGAAAATATGTAAAAAGTGTGTTGAAATGTGTAAAATGTAAAAAAAAAAATGAAAGTGCATGGGGATATGTGAAATGTGTGTTGAAATTGTAAATTTTTGACATTATTTGAAGCTTAACCACTACCTGTGGTTAGCAGGACGACCCATAATTATTATGTATTTTCATTCTAATTGTGGTCTAATAGTGACTTCCCATTCCAAGCTTGTCTTTTGCCACGATAACCTATCTTTTTATTGAAGACTGTCCCTATATGGAGTTTGTTTGGAAAAAGATGTTCATATCTAAGTTGGTATTTTTGGACTTTTAGTAGTTTCAATATTGACTAATTGTTATTTTATGTAAATTACACTGCACTGTAACATAGAGGTTTCTCATATCTTTTCACAATCTAAGTAGCATTATGCTTTTTCCTTTTTCAGTGCTACGGACAGGAACTTGGATAGTACCAGAGATGGAGTTTCACATTCAATGCAGAACAAATTCATTGAATCACATGTAATATCATGAATCTTACTTAATTATTCGTTTTCTGGTCATTTTGTACAACTGTTTCTTATGCAAGTTAATTCTTCAATTTAAAGACAACCAACATTCTTCAACTTTACGTGCATTGTAGTGATAGGTAAGATAGATTGAAAAGGATGAATTGGCCCCTATTCTAACTACAATTTCTTCTAGCAGGCATTGCCACTTTCAGAAAGGACTTGTGGAGCACGAAGTCCTCGTCACGGATACTCCATCAACATTAACACTGCTACTACATCAAGACATCGGGACTCGTTGGAAAAAGATGTAAGCTTTTGATGTCTTCCTTTCATGAATTTTTAGATGCAGGCTTACATGAATTTGTGTTGTATCCTTTCCTGTTTGGTCCCTTGGAGCTCCATACTTGAAGTTTTGGCTGGATCTATTTTTGAAAATATTTGATACAATATGGTTTTATGTATACAGAGTGGGTATAATGGCTGTGAATCATATTGTGAAGCAATCTATATAGATTGACTGGCTCCATTATGTTTTTGCTTGCAAAATACCACCATTTTTGGTTTTGGAAGAAATACCTTGATTTCTTTGTGTCGATGTTAGAAAAATTATCACCATTGGAAACAAATGCAATGGAAGGATATAATACACATGCTCCAACATGCTTTGGGTGAAAAAAATCCACATAACATTAATGGATATGATATGATCTTCTCAAAATCTCTTGAACTTTCTTGTCATCGATGACAAAACACTGAGCTTGTTGAGCACATTATCATAGACTGAGTTTTGCGTATGGCATTAATCTGCAGTTACACATCAGTTTCATGTTTTGATAATCTCCATGTATCAACTTTCTTTCACAAATGATGTATTGATTTGCAGATTGAGCAGCTGCAATTACGTTTGCAGCAAGAGAAATCTATGCGGATGATGCTTGAAAGGGCAATGGGTCGTGCTTCTAGTACTTTATCTCCTGGACACAGGCATTTTGCTGCACAGGTAACTGGAGTTAGAGACCTCAAATTTTTTAGATCTTCTGGAAAAACGAATCTAGAGCAACCATTCTGCTATTTGAAATATCAAATATTAATTAAAACCATGCAAAAAATGCTGAAATTTTTTATTAGCATCCAGATGCTGTGAACCAGGAATTAAGGTCGCTTTGGTCACCTTTACAAAATATTCAGCACTATTGAGTGGTGTGAATCCTGACCATTATGCATACTCAACACATATATAATGCATATATATCTAATGCCATTGATATTTCCAATTTAAGGATTAGTTTTCCTGTCTGGCAACCCGGTGAAGATCAGATCACATATGAATCAATATCCATAAATCTTCTAGCTATGCATAGTCCAATTATCATAAGGGCATTAATTAATTATTTTTATTTTATATGCTCATAGAATTTTGCAATGTGTATTTTTTATTTTCATTTTGTCTTGCAATGTCGCTTTTTAATTTTCATTTTGAGCTACAAATGTGGCAAGTCTAGCGGAAAGTAACCCTGCATTCTGGTTCATTTTAGACTAAAGAACTAATAGTGGAGATTGAGCTTCTGGAAGAAGAGGTTGCAAATCGTGAGCAGCATGTTCTCTCTCTCTATAGGAGCATTTTTGAACAATGTGTTAGTCGGCCTACTTCTGGGAAAAACTCTGGCATGACTTCACCAGCCCATACGAAGAATGAATCTAGGAAACACCCAAGTATAATTTCAAGTGCTTTTTGTTCCGCAAAGAAGTTCCCTCTTCGACCTTTCCAAGCTCTGACTTCTATAAATGACTCGGGGAAAAGAACTTTACCATCGCAATCTAGGACACGACATGCTCCGTTGCTTACTGGCAAATCCAACAATCATTTTGAGAAGACTCGGTCCAACCCCGGTAAGGTAGGATATTTCTTCCTGAATATTTAGTATACATCTTGGTCGTAGTTGAGATATATATTTGCCTCCAAGCATTTCTCCGAACTGTTGTGCATCTCTTACAATAACACTCTTTTCTTTGTATAAATTGTTTAATCTTGAATCTATACTTTTTTGTGACATGTCTTGTATGATGGCTTCATGTTTCTGCTAATGTATTAAATTTAACCAATACAAGTTGTTTCCTCACCTCCCAGCTAATAACTTCAATCTTAGCCTCTTGAAAACAGACCACTGTTCCTTTACAATTTCTCAACACTAGAGCTGGAATTGAAGTCCCTCTCCTCTTCTCCTCTGAGTGGTTCCAGCATTTCCATTTTCTTTTGATGACTGTAACAGCTTCAGCCTTCTATATGTTGTTCTTGTTGTTATGTGTGCATAATGTACCTTAGCTTTGTTGTTCCATTTTCAAAAAATGTAGAGCATCAGATCGAGAGTGTCTTGCTGGTGCAACCAATCTAGTTATTACCATCTTTATGATGATTTGATGACTCCATATCTTGCAACTGTTTGTTATTCTTTTGTTAACAACTCCATGCTATTAGATTAATCTGTCATTGAATGTTGTGGGCAAACAAATCAGAATGAATTTCCTTAAGTGTCAAAATACTAGTGACTTCTTGTTTTTCTATCTGTAATCTCAATTATTTGCATTAGGTTCAAGAAATGCTTCCAACTATGAACAAAACTTCAGTGCTGCGAAGCCTGAAAGATCATCTCCACCAGTGCCCAAGCAAGTTGTCTGAGGAAATGGTTAGGTGTATGGCTGCTGTCTACTGCTGGCTTGGTAGTTCAGTCTCTGCAAATCCAACAACATTAAAACGAAGTGGTATCAGTGAGGATAGGGACTGGTCTTGCAAATCCATGGTTGAAATATCTTCAATATCAACTGATAAGAACCACTTCTCTCGTGCATCTTATGCCATTAACAACTACAGGTACCCTTCCTTATTAAAAAGTGGTGCAAAAAGGTGGGGAACAAAAAAAGGAATTCAACAGTGTTGATTTTCTCTTTCCCCATGTGTGGAGGAATTTAAAATGTCCAATAGGGTGTGAATTGAATCAAGGTTCACTTGAAACCTGTTGAATAGCTTGATATACATTGTTGGGCCCATTTGCTAATTGCTTAATTGGTGATTTAACATGGTATTAGAGCCTAGGTTGGGGGGAGGTCTTGGGTTCAAGTCTCTCCATTTGCATTTGGTCCCGTTTGGCATTCTTTCTTCTGTTTGGTGACTTAACAAAACCCTCCCGTTTTCCTCATGTTTAAACTATAAATACCATTTGAGTCCAAATCCAGGCTTCGAACGGTCCATTCCCAAACAAATTCCTGCAGCTCTGGAAGTAAAAAGAAGAATCTTTAGATTGCCTAGGGTTTTGAACTTGTAAGTTCTTAGGGTGCAAATCAGATCTGATCCAATCCGTGGGAGGTTTCATGCTAATCCTGGTTCCAGTTCAGGTCAGATGATTTTATTATAGGAACACAGATTGAATTTATTGAAAAATGAACATAGTTTGCAGTTCAGGTCAGATGAACATAGGTTGAATTTATTGAAAGATCAAGAGGAAGGCCAAAAAAACTTAGGTTGAGGCTATGAAAAAGGATATGATTTGGATTTAATTATGTAAATGGATTTACATAGAGCATGGGGACAAAGATGATCCCTTGTAGTTGATATTAAGAGGTTGTGATCAAAGCTTTTTGAGTTGAGTAGACCAGTCCAGATGGTTCTAAACCCCAACTTCCTCCCTACCGGACCCCAAAAGAGAGACTCTTATGATTATGGCATACTGTTTGGATGCAAAGGTTGTTAATATTTATTTCTTCTTTTCTAAATCAGAGTTCTTGTGGAACAACTGGAAAAGGTGAATGTGGCACAGATGGAAACCAATGCCAAGATTGCATTTTGGGTCAACACTTACAATTCTCTCGTCATGCATGTAAAGATCGATAACTGGTAAATAGTTTGCTTTTTCTATTTATGCTCATATGGATCGTTTTATATCTCTCTGGTATGACTTGTGCAGGCATATTTAGCGTATGGTATACCCCACAGCTCTTTAAGAAGGCTAGCTTTGTTTCACAAGGTAGTGCACTTTTTTTGGTTTCCATTTGGAAATTCATTCTTTAATACATTTTCACAGATTGGGCTTCTATATTTTGCACACATCTTATCTTATATTATGGCCATGGGTGAAAAGATTGTTATAATGTATTGAGAGACAGAGACAGAGAAAGAGAGTCGCAAAAATCTGATGAGGCTCTTTAGCTGTCTTATTTCATTCCCCATCCATCAAGCATTATTTCTAATGCTGCAAAATACCACAGGTTTAGTGAAACAAGGTGTAAACAAATTTTCTCAGTCTAATTGAAATATATTTTGGTGCAGGGTTTCTTCTTTCTTTCGGTTGCATTTGGTTGACTGTGTAAAATTACTTTTTCTTTTCATTGGAGGACGACTCTTCCTCTATGATATACTTTCATTCTCTGATTTCAAAAGGAAATGTTTTTGATCTTCTCAATTTTATCAAGTTTCCATTTCAAACCGTATTCTTCCTACATACTAAGCCTTGACGTGGACAACATTTATTAGAGAACAGCATCCAAGAATCTCCAATTTCCTTTTCAAGTGAATCCTTAATTTCATGTTACAATTTTTTATTGAACTAGAATCACCAATAAGTCAGTTTTGACCTAAATCTTGGAGTTCAATTTAGGACCACATGAGCCAAAGTTGTGAAGACAAGACTGCACTCAAAAGTGTTTGTTGGGCTGGGAATCGTCATCTAAGTTTTGCCCATCCTTGAGTCTTACCTCCTTTATATGTTCATATCTAAAATTTGATAGGTTTCTTTTGTGTAGTGCAGGCTGCTTACAACATCAGTGGCCACATCGTAAGTGCAAATGCCATAGAGCAGTCAATATTCTGCTTCCGTACACCTCGAGTTGGACGGGTACTACCATGCTCCCTCTAAAGCTAACATAGATGTGGTGGCAATTCATGAATGTTGGGGCCTGTTTAGTACTGTTTTCATTTTTTATGTTTTTGTTTTCGTAACAAAAACACTGAAAAGTTTTAAAACACAATCTTCTTTTCATTTTTATGCGAAAAAAGTTTTCGACAATTTAGAAAACTTATCAAAAGTGTTTCCTAAAAGGGGATTTTTTAGAAAAAAAAAGTTCTTAGAACATAGAAACCAAAAATGAAAAAACACCAACCTCCTTATTGTCTATAGAAAAATAATTAGGTTGAATTGCCATTAATTGCCTCACATGAACTGACTTGTGCACCAGCCATCTTATAGGTTTTATGATTTATCTGAGTTCTGACCCACTTAGCATTTTTATGATGTGCTGTGGGTTGTATGGAGACATATACGAACTTAAGTCTTGATTTGCAGAAAAATAAAATATTAGTTATCTGTGCATTATTAATATTAACATCTATTCTTTTGCATGAATTACAGTGGTTTGAGATTGTCCTGTCAAGTGCCATGAGGAAAAGATCTGGAGAAGAAAGACAACGCATCAGCTCAAAATTTGGTCTTCGTAATTCCCAATCCCTTGTTTGCTTCGCTCTTTGTACTGGAGCTTTTTCTGATCCTGCGGTAACTCCTTGCCTCCTTTACATGTTCCTTTTATTTTCGCGTCATATTGTGTCTAAAATATCACGAGTTTAAAACTTCTTGTCAGACGTTATCGATTAATGATTGTGATGCATGTATATTACATACCTTTTTCTTTTTCTTGTTTTGATTGGGAATGTGAAATTTTCCATTGTCATGGGATGTGCCTGCACGTTCAAACAGAATTTGATTTGTTAATCTGAGGTTGTTTCATACAACCTTGATTGCTACTACTGATCACCAGAATGAGTAGCAAATCTATAAATTGTAGGTTAACTTTTCAACCTCAAAACACATTCTATTTGTTGGAAAACAAGTGAAATAGGAAGTTCTGATATTTATTTTAAAAAGCGCTATTCCTAAACGTATTTAAATTTGTAGGCTTCGGGTTCTTAATACTTTAAATTGTTAGAGAGGGGGAGGGTTAATGCTTGATAGGTGCAAATTCACTTTGTTTTGATTGTAATCATTGTTTTGAAGTTATTTTTTTCAAACTTGCACTGTGTTTCAAATTAATGGAGCATGCGTCCCCTATGTGTCCAAATTGTGTGCAGTTTTAAAAAGATTAAAAACATAGAAGTACATATTTGGATGTGTGTCCAATATGTGTTTTGGACCATGTCTGATGACTATTGGTGTCCAACGTGTCCCACATGGATTGATAAGTAGGGTGGGTAACATGTCAACACCTATACACACACACACACACAAAAAAATAATAATAATAAATAAGAAGATAATAAATAAATAGTAGTTGGTAGTATGTATGATTCTTTAAATTTTAGGAAATTAGCTCGCAATTGCAATATTTATAATTGATGGTATCTTTATCTTCTTTCAAAATACATGTGACTTCAAACACAAAAAGTCCTAAAAATAGACTTGGTAATTTTATTTATTTATTTAATTTTTGTAGCTTAAAGTCTACACGGCATCAAATGTTAAAGATGAGCTAGAAGTAGCAAAAAGGGAGTTTCTTCAAGCAAAGGTGGTTGTCAAGAAGTCAAAGAAAGTGTTTCTGCCAAAGGTGCTTGAAAGATTTGTGAAGGAAGCCTCTATCGCCTCTGATGATCTTATCAACTGGGTTGCTGAAAATGTTGACAAGAAGCTTCGTGACTCAATACTGAAAAGCATTGATCGTAAAACCAGTAGAAACGCATCGCAAGTCATAGAGTGGTTACCTTATGATTCAAGGTTCAGGTATGTGTTTTCTACAGATTTAATGGATAAACCATGGCGAGCGTGACTCTCTTTATGAATTCTTGGAAGCAATATACCTTGTCACGAGTCTTCATTGTTTCTTGGCTAAATGAACAAGAAAAATAATGTCCATAATTCAACATGCAAGTGATCCCACTCCTTGTACATTTAACTACTGTCCTTTAGATCTTTGCCAATTTCAGGTGTATTGTGGTGGTTATCTGATCTGAAGTTACTTTTGCGCATCTGTTGTAACTTGAATCGATTGACTGGTTTTAAAAAAAAATTTTTTTTTTTTTTGGTGATTCAAATTTTATTAAATTATCTGGGATTTCTGTTGTTGCAATTTAATTGTAACCTGGTGGAAGATGTGTTTGTTAGATAATGTCTCAATGGGACCACATAATTAAATGTGGTCTTATCATTTATAAGAAGCCTACAATTTAAGTGATTCAATTTAGTTAATAGGCTTAAGGTATATGTGTTATGGACCTAATGTGTAGATACTAGTTGTATAATTTCTATTTCTATGAGGGGCAGAAATAGAAATTAAAACATATTGGTTAACGTTGGTTTTCATTCCTTTTGAACTTCCACAACCTTTCAGTTTTGAAAACCAATAAATAGAAATTAAAACATATTGGTTAAAGTTGGTTTTCATTCCTTTTGAACTTCCACAACCTTTCAATTTTGAAAACCAATAAATAGAAATTAAAACCAATAATGGTTAAAGTTGGTTTTTATTCCTTTTGAACTTCTACAACCTTTCAGTTTTGAAAATCAATTACAATTTTTAAAAGGTTATGGTCCCTATTCCTTCCCAGGTGGAAATAAGAACACTGCCATTTTTCCTAAATCCTCTCAAGGAGAAACATAAGGCACCAAAGGGGAAAGGATTAGAAGGCAATAACATAATCAATAACAAAGAGTTCATTGATAATCATGCTTCCGTTTAACCGTTCATCAATGGATTCAGGTATGTCATTTTGTCTTGATTTCTTGATAATACACATGGTAAATGATCCAAAGTGTAAGATTTATGTTCTGAAATTTATGTTGACAGTGTTATGCCACTATACCGCAACTGAGTTTTGAAATGATATTGTGCCGGAATGAAATTGAGATTGGAATAGGTTAGAATGATTAGGTAGAAATAGCTATTTTTATTTAATATTTGGTCAAACACAGTAATTAATTCGGCTGAGGATGAAGTTTTCTGATGATAGAGGAGAGAGACGTGTCGTGAGATTCTGATTTCTGAAATGAATTTTGTTTGTAAACGGGAAAGTGTTATGAAGCATTTTGATATTTAAAACAACAACAACAAAAAAACAAAAAAAAGGAAAGGAAATGTATTACTTCTTAGTTGTGATATTATTTTTTTCTTTGGCAGCTTGCGTACTGGTATCATTTTTATTTTATGTTTAAAAAAAACTAAAATAGAAACTTTGTTTGGTTAAATATTATTCTTTTTTATTTGCACAGAACGAAATAGCATATATATTAGCCATAAGGTAAAACAGTTACAGATTTTGCAAGTTTGTGTGCTGGTTCGACCAGCACCCTGTCCACTTTAGTTACACATAGAAATAGAAAGGCAGAACTTAAAACCAAAATATCTTGCACTAGTAAATCTACCGCCCAATCTAAACTACATTTTTGTTCACACTATCAACTAAAACTTTACAATCAATAAAAATAGATAGGCATTTAATCTTTATCGTGACAGCTCACTTAATAGCCTCCAAAAGAGCTCTTGCTTCCACGTAGGCCTGTAAATGGATCGGATTTGGATCGGATCTGTCAAAATCTGAATCCGAATCCGATTAAGGCAAACCCGAATTCAATTCGAATCCGTTTAGTATATATCCGATTATAGATATCCGAATCCGATGATTTCGGATATCTGATCCGATAATCCAATCCGATCCGATCCATTTATTTATTTACTGAGCTACAATTTTATATAATTTGATTTTTATTTTATTTTTTTCATTTTATGTTTTTTCATTCAAATTGAGAATAGTCGGATCGGATTATCGGATTATCGAGTCGGATCGGATTTTTGCATATTCAATCCGTTTAGTAAACGGATTAACCGGATTCGGATTATTGGGTCGGATTTTTTTGTGAACGGAGTCGGATTATCGGGTCGGATTCGGATTAAATCCGATCCGTTGACAGCTCTACTCGGCATACCTGCATTTGATCTTCATCAAAACAAACCTATGCTAGGCCTGTTGCTCCATTACCCTGTTGCCATGCTCTATCCACCACACAAGTAAAAAGCTAAAAATCATTAGAAGCCACACAATTATTTACAATAACACAACAGTTATTAGATGATGAAATATTCAACTGTGAATGCATATAGTCCGAGCTAGCATTGGTCACATCTATGTTGCTGGTGGACCATTGCAATTTAAATTCATTAACCAAACATAAGGTCTGTTCGATTAACAATTGTTCATTTTCAAAAGCCTTAATATTACGCTATCTCCAAATTGTCCAAAGAATGGCTATGGAATGGAGAATGATCTCATCTTCATGAACAGTGTTAACCCACTCCGTCCACCAGATAGTAAACCCAACATGGTGACCTATCGAGAAATCCAACCCCAAAATTGTGCCCCTCCATACACGTTGAGACCACAAACACTCAAAGAAAACATGCTTTCTCATTTCCTCACTTTGACCACATCTAGCACATAATGTATCAAGTGGTATGCCTCTTCTTCTAAGCTGTCATTGTCCTGAAAGAATGTTATGAAGACATTTCCAAAGAAACAAACTCAATTTAGAAGGCAAGTTTGTCTTCTGCAATTTTTTCCAAACTAAAGGATCAATTTCATTTCCGCAATGATTACCCTCCTGTCTATGTTTAGTAGCAGACTAATAACCCGATTTAACCGAAAAAATTTCATTTTTGGTGTTGGTCCATACCAATTTATCTGGGCAAGAAACTAAAGGAATGTGTATTCGTAATATCAAGGGACCACTGTTGCCGGAAATAACCAAGCAAGCATATCACCTCACCAGCAATTGTTTGGAAAGTCCATCAAATGTGCCACTTTCCTTGTTGGAAAATATTTGGAAAGCCCAAATATTTTTCATACCTATTAGTATCTAATTTTTCAAAAAGTGCTTTGGTATAAAAATAAAAACATTATGAACATGATAAAAAAAATTAAAAACATTTCATCACTTTTGATTCCAAAAACCAAACAAATAAAATAAATAAATAAATAAGGATACTAAAGACTCTCACTAACAATTTACACAATATGTTAGTGGTTATTAGTAAAAGTGTTAAAATAAAACAAGATACTAAACATTAGGCAAATGTTAACGGGTAATACTTGGATATTAAATGATATTAAAAATTATGTTAGAAAGTGTTTTCGAAATGATAAAAATAAGTTTTGAAATCAATGAAAGTTATTTTAAGATTAGCTCACTTTTCTTTGTATTTTTGTTAGAGGTGAGTATCGTATCTTGTTCGGATCATGTCATATTGAGTTTGTATATCAAAAGTATGAACACGAACGTGACTTGTTTAATAAACGTGTCATATGTGCAAAGACTAACACGATCTCTTAATAATCATGTTAATCTGTGGATGACATGATTGACACGATTAATTTCTAAATCTATTTATTTACCAGGATACGAACGACCCAACAAAAAACCTATTTGAGTGAGAGAAACAAAAATGGAAAATTTTGTTTAAAAGAAAAGAAAATAAAAAATATTGTTTGAAATAAAAGAAAAAAAATATATAATCAAGAGAACAAATATATCAATTAATTAATATAAATATCTATCTATATATATATATATAAAGTTATACATATCGTAAATAAGTTATTTTTGGGTTGTGGGTCATGTTCGTATTAACGGGTTGCACGCTAAATTAAACGGGTTAAGTGTGCCATTTTTTGGTTTTACAGGTTTAATCCAAACACGATTTGTTTATTATATGAGTTTATAAATCGTGTCATGTATGCGTTCGTGTCAAAAAAATGCTCAATTTTAACTTGTTAATTTTATATACGGTTCAAACCATGATATCGTGTCATATCGGGAATTTTCATCCCTAATTTTTTGTTTAACTTTTAAGTACTTTGTTTTCTTCCCAAACAACATAAATAAGCATGGGGATATCCAAACATTCCACATGACTCATGAGATACAAAATGGAATTAGGATTATAAAATCAGACGGTCCAAAACAGCCTAATCATTTTTGTTTTGTGGCTGTAGATTGAATAATGCTATATATATCAATTAATATATTAATTAGTGTATTAATTAATGATATAACATACTTTAAGATATTTTTAATATTTATAATTTGTATAATAGATAGAGTTAATAATAATATTACAATTAGTATTAATATATTAATTAATCTACTAATTGATATGCGTAACACTGTAGCGGTAAATTAAAAGCGTTGTTATAGCGACCTAATCTATCTGCTGACCACCACGTGTCCCTCTTGATTGTTTCGTTTGTTTTCGTATGCTTTTTAGGATAGATAAAAGGTGGCCCAAGTCAACTCTAATATTTAGTAATATTTGATAAGGAAAAGAAAAAAATGGAGCTAGAGCGAGAAAGAGAGGGGAAATCCATCTCTTCAGAGGAAACAGATTTGCTCCGGCGGAGCACCAAGAAAATCAAGCGACGACGAGAGGACGGGTCGCTGGAGGAGATTGACGACAATGGAAGTGGTTCCTTTGGCATGGACTTTGGGGAAGCTCGTGAGGTATCTTACACCCCTTCGAGGTTGCCTAGTTCGTCTTTCATGGAGGCCCTCACTAGCGATAACACCAAGTTCTGGTACCAGGGCGACAGTGACGATGAGGGCACTACCCTACATGAGGCGGTTGACACCCAGATAGTCCCTGATTGCCCCAGAATCACAGTTCTACCTGAAGAACTGTCAACCCTTCAAGCTCCATGGCGTAAGGCCCTCATAGTCAAGGTCCTAGGGCGTGCCGTCGGATATCGTCTCTTGACACAAAGGATGAAGCAGATTTGGCAGCTTCAACACTCTATTGATGTAGTTGATGTAGGCGAGGGCTACTATCTGGTTCGATTTACATGTAAGGCCGATTATGTCCATGTTCTGTTGGATGGGCCATGGGTTATTCTTGGGCATTATCTCACCGTCAGTAAATGGCGCCCGGATTTTCGCCCACTTGCCAATGAACTACCGTCTACCATGGTTTGGATTCGATTTCCTGGAGTGCCAATTGAATACTTTAATGAAAACCTATTACTTCGATTAGGTGGTTTGGTCGGTCGAG